ACCAGCGACGAGCTGGCCGATGAGAGGGATACCGCTAAAGGACCACCGCTTGTAGATGGCGTTGAAGAGCGGGTAGTCGTCGGCCTTGCTGAACTCGAGGCAGGCGAAGACACCGCCGGGCTTGAGCACGCGGTGGGCCTCGCGCAGGGCGGCGGGGATGTTTGTAAAGTTGCGGATGCCGAAGGCGACGGTGTAGAGGTCGATCGAGTTGTCCTTGATGGCGCCCTCGGGAAGCTTCTCGGCGTTGGCCTCGAGCCAGGACATGGCGGCCTGCTGGGAAGCCGGGAGTGATCGGGAACGGTCGCGGCCGACGGCGAGCATGGAGGGGTTGATGTCGGAGATTGTGACGCGGACGTCGGGGTTGTGGTTGATGTTGTGCGCCGTGTGGAGCATGCGGAAGGCAATGTCGCCTGTGCCGCCGGCGATGTCGAGGATGTGTTGCGGGGTGGGTGGGTTAGAGGCTGAGAGGCCTGGCTGGAGGCCGGAGACGAAGTGGTCCCTGGGAGGAGAGTGTTAGTGGTGATGGCATGATGCAGATGTCGAGAGGAACCAGACGTACTTCCATATTCTATGCCAGCCAAAGGACATGAGATCGTTCATGCGGTCATAAGAGTCGGCGACGCTATGGAAGACGCCGGCGACACGATCGGCCTTCTCAGACTCGGGGACAGTCTTGAAGCCAAAGTGTGTTGTCTTGCCGTCGGCGGAAGGGTCGGTGGAGGTGTTGATGGATCGGGAAGCGATTGCGAAGGGGCGGGAGATAGGGGAGGGGGATGTGCTGAGCTGGTTCGAAAGAGATCGCGCGCTCCAGGAGGAGCGGAGGGCGCGTCGGGTCGCCATTGCTAGGGAGTGGCTCGTTTTTGTCGTGGGAGCGTGGACAGACCTGGGGGGGCGGCGCGCAATGAAGTCAGTCGATCGGTGCTTGGAGAGCTTCCAGGATGAAATAAATTTTGGTGGAGAATTTGGGGATTGAGTGTGGCTGATGCGCGCTATGTCGATGACATTGAGGAGTCAAGCCACATCTCAAAGACCAGGGCCCATGAGCAATGGCATCCAGATGGGAGTGTGGTATTCTTTGCCAGAGAAAATGAAGAAATGACGTACCTAGACGGTGGCCTCGTTGGAGGTAGCTTCCGTGTTGGTTGTGGCCGAAGCCTCCTTGCGTGCCGCTCGGTGATCGGCCAAAGCCTTGACGAAGGTGTGAACCTGGTCCTTTGCGAGCCAGATGATAGTGCAGATGAGACCAATGACCAGGATGACCAACAAAGCAATGGAGCCAGCGGGAGTCATGTTGAGACTGCTTGCTCAAGATTGTAAGGGAAACTGGTTTTTAAAGCTCAGTTGATTGGGTCGAAAAAAACTGACTGTTGGCGATGAAGTCGGATATTGAAGTTCTCAATAGAGGCAGTTGTTTGTGTATTGAGACGAGTGGTAAGTGACGGGCGTGTGAAGGGGAGAAGGTTTTTGTGGTGAGTGTGAGTGGGAAAGAAAACAGAGATACGCCCCTTCCGAAGTGATTGTGTGAAGAGTTTGAAAACAAAAGTGTGCATTCTTTATTTTTCCCAGGTGTGATTCTCTGAGCTGCCTGTGAAGGCATCCAAGTCAAGTCAGACTTACACACAGCAAGCAGGAGTTCTACACCGAGGTTCACCGTTCACCGGACCATATCCTGGGAAAATCACCATTAATGGCAAGTGGGGCGATCTATCGATAAGAACCCCCGACTTCCACTCACGGCTAAGGTACCTTTAGTATGTGACACAGTGTTAGGCACTGTATATTTCACTGTTTTCCCAAAGTCAACCTTCCATATACTCGGGCACCCCCGAGACGTAGAGAACCACCCACTCTGGTAAGCTACACAGCCAGCAGCAACACGCACATATTTCTTAATATACAGGCGATGGATCCGACGTGGGACTTGCAATTCCCACCGACGGTATCCAAAGCTTGTAGCCGTTGTCATGCAAGGAAAGTCAAGGTAGGTCGTCACCCTATAGGGAGGAATCTGGATCACTGACATGTTCAAGTGCGATTTACGGGTTCCACGATGTTCGACTTGCGAAAGGCAAAACGAGCAGTGTAACATCACTGACCGTGTGACTTACACGTATGCTGCTGTCAAGAGCCTCCAAGACCGGATCATCGAGCTTCAAGCCAGACTCGATGCTGTTTCTGAAGCCACAGCAAGTCAAACTGGCCCGGTAGTTGGACCTGGTCAATTCCATGATGTCCGCAAAGAGGCCGAGGAGATTGGTGTTCTTGCAATTGGACGGCCAAGTGGCTATTCAGAGAGAATATACAGTAAGTGTAGCTTTTTCCAGGCTACAAGCTGATGCTTAATCCTGAGAAGTCTGGTAATAATCGTTTTCATTCCTCTAGTGGGAAGTGCCACCGGCTCGACCTTTGCCCGCATCTTTTTCAAGCAGATTCACCTGTCGGTATCGTCACCAGTATTGCGCTCTGGTCGTCAAGAATTCCCCGCTCACGATCATGAACTTGTCCGGAACAACGCTGCACTCCCACCACAGCCTGTCGCCAAATTTCTCCTGACCACATACATCAGTCGTATACATCCATGGTGGCCGTTCGTTTCTCTCCCCTTCTTGAGGGGCAGTCTTGCACGAATCTACGAAGATCCAGCCAGGTGCACATTGTATCAAAAGTTTTTGATCCTCATGATGCTGGCCCTCGCTTCAGCAACTTGCACAGAAGCCCAGGAATACCGACGGATGATGGACTTGAACAGCCCAACAGACTACTTCCAGACAGGTCTACAATTCTTTTTGAATATACACGACCACCCGAGAGATCTGCAGGGCCTTCATTCGGTGCTCTTGTTGTGCCTATGGATGCTGGGATCAAACATTAGAAATCACGGCGATGATCTTTGGCAGATGAGTCGATATGCCATGTCAACAGCCATAGAGATGGGACTTCACCGACGTTCCGTCACCCCTGGCGACCTAAGTTCCGATGACCGGGAAATCCGGAATCGGACGTGGTGGTGCGTCTACGCACTGGAAAGACAGGTAGCTGTCATCACAGGCCGAGTACTCTCGGTCAGAGAGCATGCGATAGATGCGCCCAAACCATCTGTGAGTCCTCTCGACGAGCTCACAGATCAAGAGGGTCGTGCGGCGCCTTCATTCCAGAAACTCAATGTGAAACTTTTTAATCATCTGATGAGACTACGCCAGATCGGCGGGCGCGTCCTCGAATCCGTCTATATCGCTAGGGGTCCTGATGGACGAGCATCAAGAACCACATTTCAAGAGATATGCAATGAAGTCGAAAAGATCCAGCAAGAGTTGGAAAGTTGGAAACGAGACATGGAAGCCCTGAACTTTAAAGGAACGCGCGAGTACTCCGAGATGAAAATCGAATATGGACTTCTCCTGTTACTCATGTATCGACCATCTCCCACTTTCATGATCCCCTCAAAGGAGATGGCTGAGATATGCTCGCGGGCCGTCTCTGGAACTGTTCGGCAGTGGCAGAAGTTGGAGTTTCAGCATGGAATCACAGCGGTCTGCCGATGTATACGGCAAGTGCATTCGATCCTCATGGTAGGACTAGTAGGCTTGTATTGTGACTGGTAGGCTTCTTCTCTCACCAGGCCCCAATTCGCATTGCTTCAAGATTGCAAACTGACCGTTGGCTTCTAGGCACGTGAAAGCGATGAATCAAAGTCCAGAATCACCTCTCCTCTACTCCCATGGGAATAATGTGGCATTCTGCATGGATCTTATCGAGCGCGGGACTGCCCGGATGAAAGAAGAAGGCTTGCTGAAGTACCGCGATCTTCTCCAGGCGGTAAGAATCAAAGTATATGGTCCAGTGACGTGGGAACCGCCAGTTGCTCAAACCCAACCCACAGATGCTTCTCCAGTAGCTCCTGTGAACGTGCCACATACGCTTAGCCTTCTTGATACAGACAATACGCAGTCCAATATGTTCTTCCAAGGCGATGGACTGGAAACGTATATGAACCAAGTAACGGGGTACTTCGACAACGCTCAGTTGGGTTTAGATGAGGGCCTCACTGCTTGGTTTGACACTTTTATGGATGAGTTACAGTCCAGAAGAATAGGTAACTTGGGATAAATGATACATTGTCAGAAGGATTCCTCGCAATACCTTGCCTCCCTCCAACCGTCATTGGTGTAAGTTGAGTGACTACTGGCTTTCGACACTCGCTAACCTGATGCCGTGGCACAGCCTCGATATGATAAACTAGTCGAGCATCGGGTTTCAAACCAGATCTCAACATCAGATCATCATAATCGATTTGATTCCTCATTTCCATTGCATTGGCTTCAGCCAATACCCAAAGACCGAGGTGATCTCGGACTGGACCGATGATAAGTGGAGACTGGCTTGCGCAATGTCACCAGAAATTCGGCCCTGGCCGAGCTCAGTGCCGACCAAGACTACCTACTTATTGGGAAAAGCATTGGAGCATCTCATGAGCATTTTTGGCTGATAGCCCTGCAGAACAAAAACCGGGGTCCTTTGTTTTATAGAAGTGTGGTATTTATTCGAGACTTGGCTTTTCAAACAAACATTTCACGACTTACACGGAATCGCAGCGCACAAATCATCGCAAGCATCATGTCGGAATCACTGCCAAAGTCTCAACCGGCAACAAGCCACACGGCTGTCCTAAACTCCAAAAACGCTTCTATCTTGGTAAGAAATCTCTTGGTCTTGGAGTTCTTTCTCAATTGAGGATACTGACTCTCGATACGAGGTTGGCATACGCGACGGCGTCACTGGCAAATTCCGGCTAGTCCCCAGAGAGCAAGCAACCGTCTCAGTCTTTGACTCTAACTTCCTAATAGGTGATGGAATCTGGGTAAGTAAAGGATCAAGTCCGCATAGAAAAGTCCAAAGGCTGATCAGTTGGCTTTTCATCATAGGAAGGCATTCGTGCTGTAAGAGGTCGAGTTCAATTCGCCAGGGAGCATATCAATCGGCTCTTCCAGTCTGCAAAGGCAATGTACATGGACTTGGGCTTGACGAAAGGAGACCTCTTGTCACTTCTTCACCAGACCCTAGACGCCAACGACATGGGAAATGAGCCTCATGTCCACATGCGTCTGGTCGTGAGCAGAGGACTAAAGTCAACGCCCTACCAGAACCCGCACGTCAATATCGGCCTGCCGCTCATCGTCATAATCCCCGAGATCAAGGCCGTCGATCCGACAGCCAAGTCGCGCGGCCTGCGGCTGGGAACGACCTGGGTCCGGCGCGGCCCGCCCGACGTCAAGGACGAGCAGTGGAACCACATCTCCAAGGCGACGGACGTGCAGGCGTGCGTGCACGCCAACTTTATGGGCGTCGACGAGGCGCTCATGCTGGACCTCAACGGCTTCGTCAAGACGTGTAACTCGGTCAACTTCTTCATCGTCCGCGGCGACGAGGTGTGGGCGCCGACAAAGGACAACCAGATGATGGGCATCACGCGGCAAAAGACTATTGACGTCTGTCGGGCGGCTGGCATCACGGTGCGGGAGCTTGATTTTGCGCTGACGGAGGTGTACGGGGCCGACGAGGCTTTCTGTACAGGCACGTTCCCGTCGCAGATTCATGTTACGGAGGTTGATGGGCGGGTGATTGGGGACGGGAAGAGGGGGGCTTTGACGGAGGTGATTCAGAAGCTTTATGCGGCTGAAGTTGAGCGGGATGTTGCTAGGTCGAGGGAGCAGATTCAGGCTGAACTTGAACAGGCTCGGAATCTGAGTGTCCTTGATAGACTAAAGTCGAAGCTTTGAGTCTTCGTGGAATCTTCTCTCGGAATCTCTTTGAGAGTTTTTCTGATACCAATTTATTTGCCAATGAGCACACCATCATTTTAAACGACCAGATGTACATTGAAATACAGCGTAGTTTGCCAACAAAACCTGAATCAATATTCAGCTGTCTCAGTACTAGCCAAGTTCCCTTTGAAGGGAAGTAGGCGAAACCAAAGTCTCGGTTTGAATATTTAACACCTTCCGCTGTGGAAGGCATATATGGTGAGCCCGCGTAGTTTCCACACCTTTGCTGGGAAATTCGCGATTGACAACCAGCCAAAGATTATCAAACGTTCTTCATCACTAGCCTCCCCTTGCCACATCTTGAGGAAAATACCACACCCCATTAGCTAACACGGCGTCTACTGCAGTACTCAAGAACGATGATCTCAACAAACAGTGCGAGCACTGATGGAGCACGAGTCAGCACAGCACCTCGGACTGCACCGATATCTCGACATCAATCATCTCGGTGGGGACCGAGCAAAAGCTCCACCTTCTCATTGCGTGATACCCCAGAATGATAACGTCAATCGCAAGTTCTATCCTGGCCCGTCTCCATATCGACAAACGATATTGGTGTTATCCGGCAGAGCTCTCATTGATATCGAAAAGTCAGGGACATGGGATGTGGAGTTGAGCCATTGAAATACCTGCGGTTCCGCCGCCGACTCAGGGAAGCATGCTTGGTCTTTGGGTCTTGATCTCGGACTTGGACCTCATTCTTTTTTTGTCTTTTACAAGAAGAAAGTTGGCTCTTGACTGAGTCTGACTGAAGTGTCTCGTTGACTGAGAGTGTTCCCAAACGACACAACAAGCTCCGACTTATACGGTTCCGTACTTTACCAAGTGTTTCCAATACGCTTCCATTTTTCCATGATGGAACCCAAATCAGCCATGGTCGACAACGACGCAGCCGACCGGACTGACTTCAAGGACGTGCAAGATGGAACCTCCCAGTACGACGAGACTCTGGCGCCGACGCCCGCGCAAAATCGGCGCATCCTGTTGAAGACGGACCTCGTCGTCCTCCCCTGCGCCGTAATCAGCATGACCCTCGCGTTCCTTGACAAGGCAAGTCTTCCAACAAGTCCTCTCCTCTCTGCCAGGAATCTTTCATATACACAAAAGCTAACCATGGTCCCCGAGATATTAGAACGCCCTAGGCTTCGCCGCAATCTTTGGCCTCCGACAAGACGCAAACCTCAAGGGCCAGGAATACTCCTGGCTCGGCTCCGTCTTCTACTTTGGCTACCTTGCCATGGAACTCCCCGCCCTCTACCTCATCACCAAGTTCCCCATCGGCAAGTTCATCGGCGCCTGCCTCGTCCTCTGGGGCGCCTGCATCTGCCTCATGTCCGCCTGCCACAACTTCGCCGGCCTCGCCGCCATCCGCGTCCTGCTCGGCATCTTCGAGGCCGCCCTGCTCCCTTGCATGCTCGTTCTCAACGCAACGTGGTACCGCCGCGAAGAGCAGCCCCTGCGCACGGCGCTGTGGCATAATACCTTCGCTGGCGTGTTTGGCGGTATTCTGTCATATGCGATTGGGAATATCAAGGGGAGCCTGTCGACGTGGAAGTACATCTTCATCATCTACGGCGCCGTCACCGTCCTCGTCGGGTTCGTGGTTCTCTTTGCGCTGCCCGATTCCCCGCAAAAGGCGTGGTTCTTTGACGAGCGGGAGAAGCGACAAGTCGTCGCCCGCCTCGCCGAGAACCAGACGGGCGTCGACGTCAAGAAGAAGTTCGACGCGCAGCAAATCCTCGAGGCCGTCAAGGACCCGAAATGCTGGTGCGTCTGGGCCTGCGCCATCGGCTACGCCGTCGCCAACGCGGGCATCACAAACTTCAACCCGCTCATCATCTCGGGCTACGGCTTCAGCCAGACAAAGACCGTCCTCATGGCCACGCCGCAGGCCGCGGTCGCCATGGTCGCCGGCGTCGTCCTCACCACGATCTCCATGTTCGTGCAGAACCTGCGCTGCCTCTTCTGGATCCTCTCCGCGCTCGTGGGGTTAGTCGGCGCGGTAATGGTGCACACGCTCGACATCAATCGGAACCGGGACGCCAGCCTGGCGTGCGTGTACATCATGGGCTTCTACAACGTGCCCTGGGTCTTTATGCTGAGCCTCAACTCGTCCAACACGGCGGGCGCGACAAAAAAGAGCTTCATGGGCGTCACGGTGGCCGTGTGCTACGCCGTCGGCAACATTGTCGGACCCCAGCTATTCTTGTCGAGCCAGGCGCCGCGGTACCCGCTCGGCATCAGCGCCATGATGTTTGCTTTTGCGCTCATGGCCGCGTCCGGGCTCGCGTACTACCTGCTCTGCGTGGCGGAGAACAAGCGTCGCAATTCCAAGTTTGGGGTTCCCGAGGATAGGTTGCAGGCTGGTCTTGAGCAGGAGAGGGAGGATAAGACGGATGGGGAGAATAAGGATTTCCGGTATACCTACTAATAGTATCATCATCTGTTGTGAAGCGAGAAGTAGTTATTACCCCGACGAGGGCCCATCCTAATGTCAATCCCTCTTGGTGGGACTTCCATGCAATTGCAGTTTGACAACCGGACGTGTGCTGCGTAGTAGGGAGGTTTAGAAGAAAATGCCCCAGAAGAGTAATAAAACCAAGGTATAGTGTTAACCATGCTGATCCTTTGGATGAGCTCTCTAGGACGACTCAAACTGTCCTAAGTGATTGTTCCTAGAGTTGAGTTGTCGAGGTTAGAATCGGCTTAGACACATGGCATTGGTCCTTTTAACGCAAAACGGGAACCCGCAGTTCGAAGAGGAGACTTACTTGCTCTGGGGAAGTATTGCTGCATTAGACAACGTGACTTGGTAATTCAGAACAACGTCGGATAACTAAATGTCTTGATATACAGAGGAACTGTGCTGTATAAACCAGTCGTCGACAATCGCCCTGGCCCAACGTCGGTTACCGCTGGCAAAACACTATCCACTAACGTGAACTCGTCAAGTACAGACTTTATCTAAACCGTCGGGTAAAGACAATCTAGACGCCGTACTTTACAGCGAAGATAATGAACAAAAATCACCCTTCATAATCCAAGATCAAACGCGTCCTTCAAATTCATGCAACATCCAACCGTCTCGAGAAAACAAAAGCCTAGGACTAGCTTCTGATTCGGTTACGGAGGACAAAACAGTCCCTAGACACCAGCACGGAGTAAACCATAACCTTGTCGATGGGCTGCCCGGTCACAAGCACCCCTGTCCAAGGTTCGGTTTCCCTTATCGATAGGGGGACGGGATTCCACGCGGGGGCGCGGGGAAAGGAACGGTACGGTAAGGTAAGGTAAAGCTCAGTGAACGGCTTTCAGGGGGCTTGGGGCACGCTCTCACCACTGCTAACTCGCCTTATCGGTGCCGGCTTACGTCGGCTCAGCCATGACGTCGCAACTTCGGCCGACGATAGACGGTCTTCCTCGGGATAGCTTCTGTCTCGGCATTCTCCCTCTGTGCCCTCTGAGCCCTCTCGACTTCTTTCCCTTTCGTCTTCTGAAATTCCCTATGTAATTGGGGTAGGCTTTCTGGTTATCTTCTTCTCATCAATTGGATTTTTTCGAAAAGACCAAAGGTCCAAAGAAAGTGAAGCAGCAGAGATGAGGACCTCCAAGATCCTTCGACGGGCACCCCTCGGCGGGCTGGCCCTCCCCCGAGCCGGAAGCGGTCCTCCAAAGACGACATCAACACCGTCAACAGCAGCAGCAGCAGCAACAGCACCCCAAAATCGACGAGCAGCAAGCAGCCTCTCCCAAAGGCCAAACGCAAACCACGTCTCCTTCCCTGGCGCCGTAAAGAGCGCCTTCACGAGCAGCCTCAAGTTCGAGACGCCGGGTGACTACCCCGCCGTGCCGACCTATCGCGTCGTGGACCAAAACGGTGCCATTGTCGACGATGCCTTCGTCCCGGACCTCGACGAGGCGCAGATTGTCAAGCTCTACAAGGACATGGTCTTCATCTCCGTCATGGACCTCATCATGTTTGACGCCCAGCGCCAGGGCAGACTGAGCTTCTACATGGTCTCGGCGGGCGAGGAGGCGTTGAGCGTCGGCTCCGCGAGCGTGCTGACGCCCGAGGATGTAATCTTCTGCCAGTACCGCGAGCAGGGCGTCTTTAAGCAGCGGGGCTTCACAACGGCGGATTTCATGAACCAGCTTTTTGCCAATTCGAAGGATCCCGGTAGGGGGAGGAATATGCCGGTGCACTATGGTAGCAAGGAGCTAAATATCGTGGGTTCCCATGACCGATACGGCACCTCTGAAGAGGATTGGAGGGCACACATGCTGACACATTATCCGTACAGCATACCATCTCGTCCCCGTTGGCAACGCAGCTCCCGCAAGCTTCGGGAGCAGCATATGCCCTGAAGATGCAGCGGATGCAAGACCAATCGATACCCCCGAGAGTCGTTGCAGCCTACTTTGGCGAGGGTGCGGCGAGTGAGGGAGACTTTCACGCCGCCCTCAATATCGCGGCTACAAGATCATGTCCTGTAATCTTCATCTGCCGAAACAATGGCTATGCCATCTCTACGCCGACGCTAGAGCAGTACAGAGGTGACGGAATCGCCAGTCGCGGCCTGGGGTACGGCATCGACACCATCAGAGTAGATGGCAACGATATCTGGGCCGTCAGAGAGGCTACCAAGAGGGCCCGTGAAATGGCGCTCGAGAATGGAGGCCGCCCCGTCTTGATCGAGGCCATGACTTACAGGGTGAGCCACCATAGCACGTCGGATGACTCGTTTGCCTACCGTGCTAGAGTCGAAGTTGAGGACTGGAAGAGGCGGGACAACCCCATTACGCGTCTGCGCAAGTACATGGAGGCCAAGGGTATGTGGGATGAGGCCAAGGAAAAGGAGTGCAGAGATTCAACTAGAAGGGAGGTGCTGAAGGCGTTCAAAGAGGCCGAGATGGAGAAGAAGCCGCCTATTCGGGGCATGTTTGAAGACGTTTATGAGGAACTGACGCCAGACCTGAAGCAGCAGATGGCACAGCTACGTGAACACCTAGACAGGTACCCGGATGAGTACGAGTTCGGTGAATTCGAGGGAGGCAAGGATAGCTTGAAGGCATAGACGAGCGGGCCCTGCATGATACCTACCTGGCTAGAGAAGAAATGATTAATGCGGAATCTCCGGCGCCGCGGATGCGAGCAAAGCCTATATTACCTATTATCGAAATTTCGTGAGGTGTTTTTGTTGACTCGCTGGACTCGGCTGCTTAGAAATGGAGTATTGGTTGACCCTGATGGCGCAAGAAGAGGTAGGAGTGCCGCCTCCCCACCCAGACTTGAATCAGCTCCGTCAGAATCTGGAGCGCACTTGGCAAGGTGTGGATGCGTAAACGGAGACATGGTTCCGTAATGACGAGCGGCTTTGATGCGACGGGCAGTTGCTCTGGCTGGAACTACCTTAGTGCAAGGTCAGCACCTGAGAGACTGGGGATAGACAGTGATTAGGGCGGGGTCGAGCTGCCAAACGTTGTTCCAGCACGGTCAGACACTATTACAATGACGCTGTACGGAATAAGTATTCGACGACAATGCTTGGCAGGCCTGGCCTGGCCGGATGGTATGTGACGGGTGACGGACAACGGCACGTCCATGATTGGTGTTGGCGCGGTTCGAGGTTGGGACGGAGCCAGACGGTAGGCGTGACAGGAGGGGGACCGTTCCATGACATAGTTCTGCCCGTATTGTTTAGTATCAAAGGTAAGGTATTGACAATACGGAGCGCAGTGCCTACGTCTCTATGGAGTATCCGTAGCATCACATCATAAGCATGGGGCCTTACCGCAGGGATTCCCCCCTCGTGGCTGCTCATGTTGAGTTGGCCGGCCCAGTACTCTGTACTCCCCCAGTGGCTACGTTTAGAGCAAAAAGTGGACTGGAACAGCGACATCAGAGCCGCTTGGAGCATGTTGGCCGTGTGAGTGTGGCCTGGTCCTTGACTCCTTGTGCGTGGTGTGTGTGTGTGTGTGTATGGTGGTGCGTGTGGCGTGTGGCGTGTGGCGTGTGGCGTGCGGCGTGCGGCGTGGTGCTTGTTAAACTGTTAGCAGCAACGGGTGGTGTGTCTGTCCCGTTCGCCGGCCACGGCCCAGGGCATCCATCAGTCAGACCCGACACCTTCTTCCTCTCCCGTGCTGCTTTGGCGCTGCATAACCTCGCCTGGTTCCAAAACCCATCCATACATCTCCCCAAACTCCAACATCGCCATTGAATTTGTTCTCCTGCGACGACAAGGACGACGACGACGATAACGATACGACGATAATCGATTCGAAGGATAGATCAGGCCATCAATATCGATGACTCTCAACGCAACGAGATCGTCTTGTCTGATCCGTTGATTGGGATCAACCTCGCAACGCCATCGTATCTGTTGGCCATTTCCCGACGGCGCTGATAACATCAAGACACCACAACGCTTAATCGCCAGCAACCCTCGAGCTGTCCTGCCTCATGGCGTAATCCATGGCAGAACGAATCGCCTCTGCAAACCAGCGCTCCAGATCGGTAGTCGACCACGATCCCCCCGCGCGCCTCCCGTCTACGCCGACGACATCGTCTTCCGGTTCGGGTTCGCCCACCCTAGCTTCGACCTCGTCTTCCCAGCGGTAGGTGGTTGTCATTTCACCCGTATTTGCCGTATTTCTTCTCGAATTCCCATATATTGTTTTGTGCTTCGCGGAGACAACGGAGAGAGTCGAAGGAGACAGAGCATGCGTATGTGATCCGTGTGTGTATGCGAGACAGAGAGAGACTCGAGAGTGAAGAGGAACAAGAACAAGAAGAAGAGGACACACAAGAGGAGAGAAAGCAGCAAGAATCAGCCGCAGGCGACAGGCGCGCAGAATCTTTCTCTGTGAGAGAGCAAGAGCAGGAGCAAGAGCAGACGCGAGGCAGAGAGGCAGGAGCAGCAAGAACAACGTCCAGGTGCCGTGGGGTAGTTGCCGGCGACAGCCAACTTGTCTCGTGCCTGAGGTGCCTGCCTGCCTGCCGCCTTCTCTCGGTCTGGTCTGCCTCTACCTGTACCTCATTGCTGCTTCTTTCACCTTCACCTTGTCCGTTTGTCTCTCTTGATCCTCGAGTCCAAAAAAGGCACCAAAAAAGGGTGCACCTTTTCGACCTCAGGATCCGCCCTTCGTTCCCCTCCTCTTCCTCCGCCTGAAGCTACCTTACCTTTGGTACCCGAACGGCGGGATCTCGAACTTAAGCGGGTCGGGTCACTATACCTACTGGACCGCCCTACCTCACTACACTGCAACCGCACCGTACACACCCTGCCAGGCACCACCGCACCGTACCTCTAGAGCACCTCAGGAAGAGAAAAAAAAAAGACACAGAGAGGCGCCTGCTTTCCAACCATTGAAACACGGCTGCATCGCACCGCTCCTTCACCCACTCTTCATCGAGTCTTGATCATCTCCTCCTCGACACTTCTTCTTCCTTGACTCGACTCCTCTTTTCTCCTTCACTTCTTTACTCTCGTCGTTCTCGCTTGGTCAGCCTCGGGCCAGTGCTAGCAGACCCCTCCCTCTACCCCAGCAATTCATTGCATGCTTTACCTCTCTCGTTGTGTCTAGTACACTGTACATCCACATCCACTACACTCACACACCACACGCACACACATCTGACATTCGTTGCGGTACACACACGAGGCCGCCGGCATCCTGGCCTCGGCTCATTTGACTTGATCTTTACCTTCGTTTTCTCGCCTTCCGTTCTTCGGTCGGCATGCCTCCTAAGAACCAGTCACTCATGTCTCCCAGAATTACCAGATCTTCTGCCCGGCAAGCGGCGAGTCTCGCGGCTTCATCGACACAATCCGCTGCAAGCGCCGATCCCGCAGCGGCCGCCCCTGCACCACCGAGCTCCAGTCCTCCAAACCCTCCCACCTCAGCCTCGCGGAAACGAAAGGCTTCAACACAAGCTACCAGCCCTACTCCTGGACCACAGCAGTCTGCATCAGCTTCCTCCAGGCGATCAAAGCGTCAAAAGGTAGCCGAAGCTGTTCCACCGCCTCAGCTCCCTACTCAGCCACCTGCCCCGCCTCGCTCGAAGAGAAAGGGCAAATCTACCGTCGCCATGTCGAGCCCAGAGTAAGGATTTCTGTGAGCTGGAATTGGACATTCTTGAAAGCTGACTGTGCTCGTTAGCATTTCCGCCGATCCTGCAAACGCATCAGAGAACACCGCGCCCTCGGCATCTTCAAGCCGCAAATCCAGTAGCAGCCGAAGCAAGAGAACTGCCACCGGCACCCTAGGTAACCCCCAGTTGCCTCCAGTCTGATACTTTGAAGCATAGTGCTGATTCGCCATACACAGATCCTTCCGCCAACACATCCAGCTCTTCCCGTAAGACGAAACGGAATGCCGCAAACAACGCGGATCCCGATACTGCAATGACGGGCACAGACGACACTGAAAAGGAGTCTCTTCCTCTTCCGCCCCCACCGCCTCCTCCCGAACATCACGACGACGACGATGATAGTGACGATAACGATGACGATGATGAGGGTCAGCGATACGATGACGACGTAGACGATGATCCCTTTGGAGGATTCGGAGGTCCTGGAGGTCCCGGTGGCTTGTCAAGTACCTTGCGGGCCTTGACAGGCATGATGACGGGTATTTCGTCTCGCCTGCGAGATCTTCTCAACAGCCTGCGTCAAAAGGATGACCCATCAGTGCAGCTGATCGCCTTGCAAGAGCTGTCTGAAATCTTGTTGGTTTCCAACGAGGACAACTTATCAGGTCACTTTTCACCTGATGCCTTCGTCAAGGAATTGGTGACTCTGATGCAACCCAATGAGATGACGGGCGAAGAGAATCCCGAACTCATGTTGCTCGCCTGCCGTTGCCTGGCAAACTTGATGGAGGCCTTGCCCGCCAGTGTGGCCAACGTCGTTTACGGAGGGGCTGTCCCCGTGCTCTGCCAAAAACTGCTCGAGATCTCCTTCATCGACCTTGCCGAGCAAGCCCTGAGCACCCTCGAAAAGATCTCAGCAGAGTATCCCTCCAGTATTGTCCGAGAGGGTGGCTTGACCGCCTGCTTATCCTACTTGGATTTCTTCGCAACAAGCACACAAAGAACAGCCGTGACCACGGCTGCCAATTGCTGTCGAAACATCCCCGAGGATTCTTTCCCGGTCATTCGAGATGTCATGCCCACACTTCTCAACGTATTGGGCAGCAGCGACCAGCGAGTGGTCGAAAAGGCGTCCATCTGCGTCTCTGGCATTGTGGAGAGCTTCAAGTACCAGTCTGCCAAGCTGGAAGAACTCGTCAGTGTCGACCTGTTGAAGGCTGTCTTGAGGCTGCTTGTGCCAGGCACCACTAATCTCATTGGAGCTGATATCCACACGCAATTCCTGCGGGTGCTGGCCTTTACGGCTCGTGCTAGCCCCCAGCTTTCGGCGGACTTGTTCAAGCTCAACATCGTGGAGACACTTTACCAAATCCTTACGGGTGTTTCACCGCCCAGTGGCACAGAAGATGTTGCCTCCAAGTTGGACAGCGTTGTCATCATGCAGGCCTTGATCCATCGACCAAAGGAGCAGATTATCGAGACGCTCAATGTCATTTGCGAGCTGCTACCTAGCCTGCCTCGCAACGCTGACCCTTCATATGGCGACTTCGTGGAGATGAACACAACAGAACCCATCACTCCTTCCTCCACAGCAGCTGGAAAGACGCGCAAGTCACCAAACGATAAGAGAATCGAACTGCTCGACAGTTGCAAGTCCGAAGTTCGCCGCTTTGCTCTGATTCTTTTCCCGACCTTAACCGACGCTTTTTCGAGCACAGTTAACCTCAACGTTCGCCAAAAGGTACTCACAGCCCAGCTAAAGATGCTTTCAAACCTTGACGAGGAGATTCTTAGCGAAGCGCTGAAGACAGTGTCTTATGCTTCCTTCCTGGCTTCGATTCTATCTCAACAGGACCATCCCTCCCTGGTTATGCTGGCGCTTCAAGCCACAGAACTTCTTCTCAGTCGCTTGGAGGATGTTTACCGGTACCAGCTCTACCGTGAAGGTGTCATTTCGGAAATCACCAAATTAGCCATCGAGGA